TGCTACTCTAAACAGTATTTTGCTGCTATATAAAGTACTGTGCTACTTTATACTGTGCTTGAAACGGTCCCACTGCGTATCTACAATGAATGTAGAATGCTCTAGAACTGACCGGTGAGTACCTCTGCAAACGAGTAGATTATTACATCTTGTATCATAGTGAAAATATCGGCTCATAGTTTATTTCTTTAAATGTGTCATATACTTGGAAAATGTGGTGAACCATAAGTATAACTCTCAGATAACTGGCATAATTGATAAACCGGCACCCTCCATTCCCCATGTGATGCGGGCGAAGAGAGTTTTTGCTGTATTAAAAACTCAGCTGCCCAGGTTTTAACCCAGATCCAAATTACTGGCTCCCTGTACGATGCAGAATCGACGTTAAAATTATTATCCTCCTCTCCTTTTACAGGCCCTAAATGAGTTGGTTCCAAAACATCTCACCGCCAATCTACTTAAGTTTCATTTTCCACTGCGACAACTTAGATCTGCCGATTCTGGTTTCAACTCAAGATGGATACAAAGTCCATGCTGTGTTTGTTCGGTGGGTGACAGAGGCTTTTATAGGTCAGGCTCTGGTATAGTCGCATTCCCTTCCTTTCTCGGTCCATTAGGGAACCTGTGTCCATTACACTTTTGGAATTACATCTTAAAACTCACCTTGACTTTCTCCACGACTCGACAAGCCTCGGGTAGAGCGCTTTTATGCCTTGTTCAAATTGCGCTGTGGAAACCCAAGTTTATTATTGTGGAACAATTTCCGCTCACTCGCTCTCACTCGGTAGAACAGGGGCGATCGTACAAACTCCACCCACTCACACTTTAGAACAGACAGGCTTTTAAAACACTTTTATTGCTGCCAGCAGCAATAGCGCTGGAGGCGATTTTAATACGAGAAAAAGTCACAAACAACAAACAACCCAACACGATTAAAAAAAGAAACAACCACGAGCTGCGGCACATGGCGCTGGGCGTGCCATGCACAACACAAAAACGGCACGTGGTCGGTCGTGGCGCGCGCCATGCTCGACGACCGAGCACGCTCGAAGGTGAAAATAAGGTTGCCGTTCACACCGGTGCAGAGGGTTTGTCCGGCCCTCCAGCATTCGGAGAAGACGCGCGTCACCGGCATTTGAGTGGCACGCGTGCTCTAGCTGGAGCGACGCCTATGAGCAGGCCCCTGAATGCTGGTACCACAGAGCAGCCATCAGTGTCGCCTTGCAGCATCTTTTTCCTCGTCTTGCACGCTGCCATCTTCGCTTGGGCACAGACGAAGGTTGGCGAGATCGTGGCGCTTTGTCAGCCGGGTAAGGCACCCCAACGTATGAATCAGCTGTTGTAGAAGGGCACCCCCAGTCTCCGGAAAATGGTCCCCAAAAGGTGGAACATTGGGTTGAGCCACTGGCAGCGTAAGTACTGTTGGGGCAGATCCTCCCTGGAACCGCAGAAAGCGCACACGTCTGGTAACCCCTGGGGAGATTCGGCTGAGCCACACAGTCGATGGCAATGTCCAGTGTGCCAATTTTCACCGGAGGTCACTGCAGTGTTTGGCTACGAGAGACTTGCACATTTGTTTCCGCTGGGGGGTGGCCACAATGAGGGGAGATAAATTATCTCTCCATTTTGTGTCTGGTAGGTTGTCCAGGTCCCGGGAATTCAGCGCCTTGACGCTCTTTCTTTGGGGCGCCCTTCTGGGGCACGTTCCTGCGGCCTTGGAGTTTCAGTAATTTCCTGGAGTTGTTGTGGCCAGGGGGCTGCATGCAGGAGAAGCACAACTCCGGGAAGGAGGAGGAGGGGGGGGGGGCGCCACTGTTTTTCGGCGCCTTCAGCTTGACAGAGAGAGAGATCATACAAACTCTACTCACTCACTCTCACTGTAGAATAGAGGGAGATCATACAAACTCTACTCACTCACTCTCACTGTAGATAAGAGGGAGATCATACAAACTCTACTCACTCACTCTCACTGTAGAATAGAGGGAGATCATACAAACTCTACTCACTCACTCTCACTGTAGAATAGAGGGAGATCATACAAACTCTGCTCACTCAAACTCACTCCGTAGAACAGGGGGAGATCGTACTAACTCCACTCACTCACTCTCACTGTAGAATAGAGGGAGATCATAAAACTCTGCTCACTCACTCTCACTGTAGAATAGAGGGAGATCATACAAACTCTACTCACTCACTCTCACTGTAGAATAGAGGGAGATCATACAAACTCTGCTCACTCAAACTCACTCCGTAGAACAGGGGGAGATCGTACTAACTCCACTCACTCACTCTCACTGTAGAATAGAGGGAGATCATAAAACTCTGCTCACTCACTCTCACTGTAGAATAGAGGGAGATCATACAAACTCTACTCACTCACTCTCACTGTAGAATAGAGGGAGATCATACAAACTCTGCTCACTCAAACTCACTCCGTAGAACAGGGGGAGATCGTACTAACTCCACTCACTCACTCTCACTGTAGAATAGAGGGAGATCATACAAACTCTGCTCACTCACTCTCACTGTAGAATAGAGGGAGATCATACAAACTCTGCTCACTCACTCTCACTGTAGAATAGAGGGAGATCATACAAACTCTGCTCACTCAAATTCACTCTGTAGAACAGGGGGAGATCGTACTAACTCCACTCACTCACTCTCACTGTAGATAAGAGGGAGATCATACAAACTCTGCTCACTCACTCTCACTGTAGAATAGAGGGAGATCATACAAACTCTGCTCACTCAAATTCACTCCGTAGAACAGGGGGAGATCGTACTAACTCCACTCACTCACTATCACTGTAGATAAGAGGGAGATCATACAAACTCCGCTCTAGCTCTATATAAGAGGGGGAGCTCATACCAACTCCACTCATTCACTCTATAGAAAAGGAGATCAGATAAATTCCACTCACTTTAATTCTGTAGAACAGGGGGAGATCATCCAAACTCCACTCACTCTCACTCTGTCGAATAGAGGGAGATCATATAAACTCCACCCACTCACACTGTTGAAAATAGAGAGATCATATATACTCCACTCACTCACTCTCACTCTGTAGCTCAGGTTGTGATCATACGAACTTCACTCACTCTCTCACTCTGTAGAGTAGGAGATCATACGAATTCCGCTCACTCACACTCTTTAAAAGAGGGGGAGATCATACAAACTCCACTCACACTCTGTAGAACAGGCGGTGATCATACGAACTCCACTCACTGTCACTCTGTAGAATCGAGGTAGATCATACACACTCCACTCACTGTCACTGTGTAGAACAGGGGGAGAACATACAAACTCCACACAGAAAGACATCTGAGTCGGGGACCGAACCGAGGCCCGTTTTTGTCTTGGGCGCACGAGTGCTACCACCCAGCCTCCCGATATCTGAAGATTCTGAAATGGTTGCGAATAATGATTCAAAATATCCCACGAACCATTGGTTGCTGTGGGTGACCTGTCTTCTTTAAACTCACTAAACACGCTATGTGGACACAACGTCCCCCCTATCTCTTGGCAAATATTAGTGTTGTGTGTCAGAGAGAATGCAGCAGAAAGTAGACAAACTACAGAGGGAACCACACACCCGGTCTCTTATTATTGAATACACCAATAGAAACTGGAGTATAAAGACAAAGACACGAGTCCGCCGTAGAGCCTAGCTGCTCGCGAGTAGTAGTACCTAGAAAAGCTGGGCACGGCCATCATAGCCAGCAACAACACCCGGATGCCTTTGTCTTGACAATGGCGATGTTTACACACCGCTCCAGGTACTCATTTGAGGCTGAGTTTACCTAGGGGAGGCCCAGGACCGGTTCAGATAATCATCACTGGGATCACCAGGTTCGTAGTGCAGCAAGCTAACCACTACCGCTCCCCTGTCACACACACCCGTACCCACATCAACAGTGTCTGCGGTGTCACCACGGCACTTGTGCCAGGCTAGGTGCACTCCAAGTCCTCGTGAAGCATCGAAGGCTCGCTGGCAGGTGCTGCTGGTTGACAGAGATGGCTGGCAGATGCACCACCTGTCCCTCCTAATGTGCCGAATCGCTGGTGCTTTATTCACCCGCTCGTTGTTGTGAGTGTCGCTCCTCTGACCTCCCGCCTTGTGGGAAAAGTGTTCGCTAATGTAAGAACCGCATTGTAGCAATGAAGCGTCGTGTGAAAACCACTCATTAAGCGAGGTCTTAACGTATTGAACCCAGAACTGAGTCTCACAAGAACACATTTGAGGTTGATTGGATGTGTACACAAACTCATTTTACAACAATAAGATGTTTGTTTACATCGAGGGGAGATTAGTGAAGCAGGCGAATAAATTATCTGTGTTTTGACTTTGCCGTGTCGCTCACTCAGCATTGGCCGAGCGGTGGTGCAATAGTTGGAGATTACAGCCACGGGGTTCTGATAAAGGGGAGGGGGTTCACGAGGCTGAAGCCACAACATTCCACTTCCCAACCCTCGTCCATCAGGACCATGCTGCTTCTCCTCCTTCTCCTGGCTCTGGCGATTGGCAAAGAGGCGAAACCCCTGAGTGAGTGCAGCCATCACTGTCATCATCATCATCAACAGCATCATCAATAGCAGCATCATCATCAGCACAAAAGAGGCATAACCTGCTATACCACTCAGAATGCCTTCTTGGTAAAACGCAGTGCAATAGGAAACAGTGCTATAGGAGGTCATTATAAGATGTTTCCAATGGAGATTTTTTTTTTACTTGTGAATGCTATTTTGTTGAACCTATGAGCGATATACGATGGCTTCGTTTGGGTATCCGTAATAGCAAACCTGTTAACGCATACGGTTTACCCCGTATTCTTGTACAGGGAAATTTTGTTTTTAGGTGCATATGGCATACAGCCATTTCAACACGGGCAACAACTAAAATTGTATCTATTTGTGTTTCTCCCTTGTGATGGGACTTTGTAGGATGAACATTGAGATTTATAAGGGTACGGGGTGACCAATAAGGTCTGAATTGGTCTGTAATAAGGTAGGCACTGAGGAGCGGTTGACAGGTTTGTAATAGCCTTAATGATACTGTACACATTATAATGTGTTAAATCATTTTATAAATGAAACAACTATAACTTTGAATGATAGTGACATAAAATAGTACAATGAGTAGTGCACTCAACAATGCATTCGGTCGAAGCTTGTGTAAGATTAACCACCGTCTACCGCAAGCACACGTTCCGCGGGAAGTTGTACCAATAGGATTACTCAAGCCATGGGTCGGCAATAAATCAACACAGCGATTAACCCTCGGCAATAATAACACTACAGGAGGTGTTGCGATGTTCAAACACCAAATAGACACAGATCACATGGCATAATGAAGTCTGCATTAACCACACATCATGCTTGAAGTAATACATGCGGAACAGACATGCTTTTGAAATGAGAGAGCGCCATCTAATGGGCGGAAAGGGGTCACCGCATGGCCACCACCGGGCAGCGGGTATCCAATCCCAAGCGGGGATACATCTGGGCCAAAGGTAATGGGCGGAGTCAAAGGGGAAGGTGCGGGAACCATCGGGAAGGTTCCACGAGGAGGCGTGGCTAGAGGCGGAGCTTAGCTCCGCCGAGAGGGATATAAGCGGGGGCAGCGGAGGACTCGGGAGTCGGTGTGTGAAGCCTCAAGTCCGGACAGCGTCGCTGCACAAGCCTCTCCTCGTCACCGACCACGTGCCGGAACCCAGCGAGGCTCGCCTCTTTTCCCGGCACGCCGGCTCGCCTCTCCCATTGGCACGCCGCCAGTTCGCAGCGGGATCGGGGAGTGAGAGAGGGGCAAATAGAGAGAACGACTCGTCCCCGGCCGCAAAGACAGAGAAGGGAAACATACGGGGAGAGCGGGAGTGAGCTGTGCAAGAATTCTACCAATGAAATACGCCAGTCAAGATCGTCGTGGAAGTCGTTTATTACACTTTGATGACGGTATGCGCATTGTCTTTGAGACTGATGGATACACAGCTCTTTTTCAGAAGCGATATGGCCACAATTGATAGGTCAACTAAGTGGCTTATCACGTGCGAATTTATAGAAGCCAAATACTTGAAAAAGGCGGGCCTCCTTTTTGGCCTTGTCTTGCCACCAGTGTTAGACCAGAGAACAACACTAAAAGGTGAACAACACAAAGATAATGCCAATGTATCAAAGTGTAAGGGATGTCAGGGGAAGGATTCCCGCCAACAGTAGGGGGAAAGTGGAGCGGGAACGGTGAAGGGGGGAGGAGTAGGCGATGAGATATAAGAGGGGGGTTGAGAGGCGCCGAAGGGGGAAGACTGGCAGGAAACGGACGGAGAAGGCTGGGGACGAGTGTGGCATGGGGGGGAGAAATAAAAGACGAACCCCTCGCAGCCTCGTGTCAGCTCTCCTTTACATCTGGTGGCAGCGGCGGGATCCACAATGGTTACAAGGAAGAACCTCCACAGAAAAGAGCCAATGGAAGAGGAAGCAGGGGCCAGAGACCCCCCCCCCCCAGGGCCAGGGCAACAAGAGGAGCTGCTCACGGGAGCAGCAGCAGGGAGCCCGGACCCCATGGAGGACCCCATGGAGGACCCCATGGAGGACCCCATGGAGGACCCCATGGAGGACCCAATGGAGGACCCCATGGAGGACCGCGTGGCCCGCGTTGAGAGGGCGCTCCAGGAGCTACTGTATCGGCTCCCTATGGGGGGCCTGCCGGCGCCGGGACCCCCTCTCCCACTCGTACTACCGGAGGAGGCGCCACGGGATCCGGCGGCCGACCAGCCAGCCGGGCATGAGCCACAACCAGCCTCATCATGCCAGCTGCTGCCGCCACTCCCACCAAGGCCTCCAGGGGGTAAACAGGACGGGCATGTCGGCTGGGGCCCGTCGAGAAATTCGTAGCCGAGGGAGGCGATTGGGAGGCGTTCGTCCGCCGATTCGAGGCTGCCTTCCACGCTCTAGAATGGTCGGACGAAGAGGCGCTCTGGGCGCTGCCATCTGTTCTGGATGACGATGCGCTTGCCTCTCTCACCTCCCTTCCCGTGCGTAAATACCACGCTACAGGCGGCCTACGAGGCTTTGGGGGAGATCTTCTCGAACATCTCTTTCCCTTGAGATTCACTGTATTGAAATGTATTTGATTTTTTTAACATAATTTGTTTATGGAGATTGTTTTTCATGTTTGCTGTCTCTAGGGATTCACTGTTAGTGCGATTCACTGTCTCTTGAGTTTCGTGTCCCCTGCTAATTCGCTGACCCTTGAGATTCTCTGTTCGGTGTGGTTCACTGCTCTGCTGATATTCACTGCCCCGTCCATGTTCCGTGCAGATGGCAATGGACTGCGGTCACTGCACAAACGTTTCGTGAATTTCTACGACGAGCCCTTCGACTTCTCTTGTCCCGAACACCAGTCCATCTACCTCATTTACAGGTACGAAGATCCCCCGTATAGCCTTTAACAGACTGTTGGGGCAGGTGCTGTTAGCGAGTAGTAGTAGCACCTATGAAGGCCGGCACTGTGGCACACGTGGGGGTAGGTGGCTAGCACCACACCCGGCCGCCTTTGTCTCCCCAGTGGCGACGTCTACGACACAGCGCACCAAGTACTAATTTGAGGCTGAGTCGACCTAGGGGAGGCATATGAACGGTTCAGATAATCGCCACTGGTGTCGGTGGCCGTGAGCAGGCATCGAACTCGGGTTGCCTGGTTTGTAGTGCAGTGTCGCGCTAACCGCCACAGCACTCCAACAACAACAGCCGCCACTCACCACGCGCCTGTACCAGCCGATGTGCAATTTAAGGCCATGTGAAGTGTCGACGGTTCGCTGGCAGGAGATCACGGGATAGACCAAGGTGCCATGGGTTGATTGACTGAGATGACTGGCTGATGCACCACCTGTGCCCCGCCCCCCCCCCCACTGTGCCAACTTGCTGTGTTTTATCAGCCCCTGCGCTCCGCTCGTTGTTGCGAGCGTCGCTCCTATGCCCTCTGCTGTTGCTGGAGAGCGACTGCCTCAACTGCCCAGTAGCAGCGTCCTTTGCGAGTCTCCTCAATAGAGATCGATCTTGACACTGCTGGTCCCAGTCGTCGGCAAAATCCATTCAGCTCCATATGCTCACGTACAGCACGAGACCATCTCTTCCCTAGCCCGTGCCGCGCCCGTTTTACCCCCCTCTATCCAACCAAACAAAAGCTGCTTAGGCATGCGGTAGCTGGGCATGGCTGGTAATTCTTACGTGGGATACTGCTGAGTCACAGTGTTCAGTGTGTGGCAACCAGTCTTCTTCTGCAGGGTCGTGAGGCTCATGGTGCTTTAAAGCTAGATCACTGTGTACATCAGCGAGAGTGTTTGCGTTTGGGGAGCGGCAGCACGAGGGTTAGTGCGTTGCGCTACGGACTCGGTGAGCCACGTTCGATTCCCGCTCACAGCCAAAACCAGTGACGATTTTCTGAACGGGTCCTGGGCTTCCCCTAGGTTGAATCATGAATGTATGTATGTTTAACTTATTTCACCCTGAATGTAGCCAACCATGCTAATTGGCGGTGTCAGCTTCAAATATGTACCTGGTGTGGTGTGTCATCATCGCCACTTGAGAGACAAAGGTGGCCGGGCGTGGTGCTGGCTACCCACCCCCTCGAGGTATGTGTGTATGTATGTTGAACTTCTTTTTCACCGTACGAGGCCGACCGTGCTAATCGGAGGTGCGGGGGAAGGACAACAAACTAAATTCAGGAAGCAGTCCTACAGAAATTAGTTTTCAATCGAGATGATTTAAAATTGATTGCATAGCTCCGGTTGCCTTCCTAATATTGGATGGAAGTGCGTTCCAGACGACCGCAGAAAGTGCGCGATGCAGTGGCAGCGGTCTTTGTTGGATGGTTGGCGCCACCAGTCGTGTTCAAGGATACACGGGGGATCTTTGTCTTTGTCAAGCATCGAAAGCACGTATTACAAGGACCGGCTGTGGGACTACTTCTGCAAGCCGACATTCGACACGAGCCAACCCGTCTCCTCCCACAATGGCGACTACGTGAACGCTTTCGACAGGGAGATTAACTTCACCTGCCCCGTCAACTCCGTGGTCACGGCTATGGGGAGCTACCATGACAACAGGGCCGAGGATCGCAGGTGAGGTTCTGGACACCTGTGGAAAAGGCCTTCACGGCCCATCGGATTTCTGAGTAAAAATTCCGATAAATGAAGATTCTGAGGTTGGCGCTTGAAATAAAGTAACACCGCGATTCACGCCCTCCCGTTTTGCATACTTTCGACATAACGTGCTCAACTTACTGATACCCATTCCGTTTTACGTACCATGTAATACTGTGTGCATGTGATCCACCAACCCCAGCTGCTGCCTCCACAGCACTGAATTACTGCAGACCAAGTGCACAGCCACCACCAGCAGTCGGCTAAACAATGGTGTTGTACTGCCCTTGAATTAGCTTGCAAAACCTTACTGAGTCACAAGGCTCTCTTTTTTCAAGAGGGTCTGATGAATCGGGTATGATGAATCATCGGGACGACCTCCCCGGGCCCTGCGCTTTGGGGGGGGGGGGTTTCACGCTGCGACGTCACGTCAGATGTAATGCAGTAACCACACTCATTCACGTCCTCTCGCCGTACGTACTTTCGCTCTAACGTACTCAACTTGCTGATACCCAAATACCCTTCTAAGTTATGAGTACCTCAACGTTCTCGAGATTCACCAACTTGACCACTGGGACCCAACATTGTTTATGTTGCACGGTGAACATTCAGGTGCTAGATGGCGTCCAAGTGTTAGCGTCCAAGCGTTAGCGTCCTTGACTGGCTCGTCTCTTTCTTGTGTACTCTAGCAATATTTCCCCCCCCTCCCCACATACCGTATTTATGGCGACTTTTTTTAATAGACAAGTGTAAGCAATTTTTTTCTATGATGAACAACTAATGATACATATAGTATAATATCCAAGGTAATATATCAATAATACGCAATTACTTTTCATACCGATGGTTGCACAGTATTGATGTGCAATGGGTTACTAAACATCCTCTGGTTAGGTTCTGTGCCACGTTACGAGCGCGTCTCCTTTGGAACCATGTCGACAACAGGTTGATTATTTTGATATCATCTGGTCAGGTTATGATATCAAAAGGAGTGCCGCAGGATTAATATATCAATAATTTAGGTAATGGTCTAAAATATTGCGTGACAAACATTTTTGAAGACGTAACTGTTTATATTAGCTAATGGGGTTTCACCTAATGATTTGCAAAACAACTTGCAAAATAATTTCGAGGTTATTCAAGAACAACTGTTAACTTTAAAACTTGTTCATAACATGAGTAAAATTAAATGGCTTTTTTTCCCGAAGAAGACGTGTGGTGTTCTCGATTGTGGCACTGAATGGACAAATCATTGAACTCGAGTTTATTTTATTGAAGCCTCTTTCTCTTTTCATATGCATATTGATCAGTTAATCAAAAAGATTAAATGTAAGGATACGTGTACAGAAAGAAGCACTTGCTTTCCTGTTTTAATCCGTCGAAAGATTATTCAAGATGCAGTTATTTAATTATTGATTTGAAGCTTTCGTGACTGCAGGAATCCACACTCTGGTTCTTTCAGTAAAGTCACGTAGTTAGAAAAAATCACAGATCACGACGTTGCGATCACAACGTCGTTGCGATCACAACGTCGTGATCTATCATTTTTTTTCTACCTCCCGTGCCTTTAGCGAAAGAACCAAAGAGTATTTTTATTTCATTGTTTGACTACTGCGACGTAGCATACGGGACTGCTTTATCTTCACTCTTAAACAAACCTCACCGGTCTACCATGCTCCGTATGGGAGGCATCATTGTGACCTCTATTCCACGACTGGGCTAATGTCCCTGGAAGCACACAGAAGTTATCACTGGGCGGTGCTCATTCATAAGGAAATGTACCCAAAGCTCTGCACTTTAGATATCAGATGTGTTAGTGCCTTTACAAAATCCCCCCAGAAGAAAAAAAAATCTGCGATGCGTGTCTGATTGTCTGTTCCATGATTCTGATACGCAATTTGGTTCAAAAGTTTTTCAGTGACTGCTGCTCCAAAGTTGTGGAACCAACCACGGGGTCTCTTCTCTGGGGGGTCACCACTCTGCCACTCTCGAAACTCTTTTTTTAATGAACGTTATTGCGTTCGAAACAATAGGAAAGCGAATGTACATAATTGTTTTGTAAGATAATTTCGTTTTAATTACTTGTTTGTATTTGTATATGTTATATCGTGTATATTTATGAATTTTAAACTCTTGCTGCTGTGCTTGTCTGCTGGAAAAAAAAGCTCTACAGCTCAATGGGATATTTATTCGGATATTAATCTTCTGATTCTGATGTTATAAGCGCTGTTTCGTATCACGCTCCGATTACAAAGAACGCATCTTGAGCGCTATAAGAGGAATCCCTGTACAGGAACTCTTCGAAGGGGGCCTCTTAAGCTCGACGCAACTTAGGGCCTCAGCAATGTCAGAATCCAGCCCTGGCCAGGCGTGACAGACTGTGGCACATGATGACAATGATGGATATGGCTTGGCCTGTCATTAATGTAGCACCACTTCCGCATGTTGACTCTTTCGTTGCCGACTCACGTTCCAAGCGATCGTGCAAGTGCGTTAATGGATGGGTAATTGAGTGAGTCGGTTGGTGAGTGAGTGGGTGACTGGGTGGGTGATTGTGTGAGTGGGTGGGTGATTGTGTGAATGGGTGGGTGCTTATGCGAACGGGTGGGTGAGTGTGCGAGTGGGTGGCTGATTGTGCCAGTGGGTGGCTGAGTGTGCGAGTGGGTGGGTGATTGGGGCGGTCGTGAAGCGAGCGGAGGAGTTTCATATATGGGCAGCCTTCTGATGGCAAGTTGTGATTTGGCAGTGAGGTCTCTCTGCGAGTCTGTAAAAGACATCACCATGCCATGCATTCCATTTCAGATTACGTTTATGGCCACGGGTCGGCAACCAAATTAACAAGAAGAGCAATTTTTTTCTCATTCTGTAAAAAAAAACCCCTCAATATTTGAACCTTATGGTGGGACCCCGGGGTCCTATAAGCCCCCGGCTCTCGCATATACCGCGCTGCAACGTCATTTTATGTCTGTTGAAGGCGAACGATACGGCAATCTCTTCCTCATGACGAGCTCTACACAAGTTTGGTTTATTTTGCGGAATTCGACCTCGCTGCGCTTGGACGACAATGACAACAGAATGATCCGCGCCAGGTGGGTCGCGACGTTTATGTGCGTGGTGGGACGGAGTCGCGAGAAATAAATAAATTAATTACGATTTGTTTTTTTTTTACTTCTGTTTATTCGGGACACCGGGGTCCCGCCATAAGGGTTCATTTCAAGAGCTGCAATGCACGGTGAATATGAGACGGTGGTCTTCAATGCTTAACGTCACGAAGCAGTTCCTTGAAGGGCCACACGCGGCTCGGGAGCCGCGGGTTGCCGACCCCTGGTCATGATGATGACGACGAGGATGATGATTAGAGTCGACCTTTCTGCATCGCGGCCTTCCCCATCGCGGTTTCGATATATCGCGGGTTCGGCATAAGAAATGAAATCGGGATTTTTTGGGGGAGTTTTTTGGAGTTTTGCGAAGGCCAGCAGACCACACACACAAAAGTTTAGTAACTCATAAATGCATAAAATATATGTACAGTACTGTATAATATTAATGTATTTTATCGTTTAATACCATACATATCCACTTTTTTAAGTTACATTATGCAAAATGTTAAAGTTTGCGAAAAGTACGTGAAAGCCAGCAGACGGCACGCAAAGGCCAGGTGACGAACGTGTCATCTACGTGTCTCTTCCACAAGGAGGGACGTAGGGTGGATGTCTGGATGGCATCTGTCTCAAATTTCTCCATGAAAACATTCGCTACCACTGGCGATAAGGGAGAACCCATTGGGGTACCCTCATTTTATACTCTTTGGTTCTTTCGGTAAAGTCACGTGGGAAAAATAATAATCGATCACGATGTTTCGATCGCCACACAAGCGGTCGTCCCCAGGTGGGAACAAAATATGACCGCCGGCGTGGCGATCGAAACGTCGTGATCGATTATTATTATTTTTCCCACGTGACTTTACCGAAAGAACAAAAGAGTATGGATTCCGGCAGCCACGAAAGCTTCATATCAAGATTATACCCTCATTTTGTTTGTAGAATGTACCATTCCAGGTGAAGAAGTGTTGGTAAGGCAGTGCCTCACCAAAGTTGGTACATCAGGATTCAGTTCCTGTTGGACCAAGTCTTCAATGACACGTTCGTCATCTGGCCACATGTCCTGTCAGCACTGAACCAATTTTTCAACCACATTAATTCCATACACCCATATATCAAATTCACCATGGAAGTGGAAAATAATGGCAAGCTACTATTCCTGGATGGTTTAGTCGAGAAGAGACCTGATGGCTCGTTGGGACATTCTGTCTACAGGAAAGCCACCCACATAGATTCCTGTCTAAAGCCTGATTCCCACCACCATCCAGCCCAGAATAATTCCCTCATCAAAACTCTACACCATAGGGCCCATTGCATCTCCGACCAGCACCACCTAACCAGTGAACTGGAGCACGTACACCAAGCCCTCAAGACGAATGGATATTCTGACCGCACAATCCGCAAAGCTGTATCCCCAACCACGGGTAGAGAACCATTTGAGGACCCAATCAAAACCATCACTTTGTCATACATAGCAGGGGTTACCAAAAATATTTCCAAAATCTTGAACAAACACAAGATTCAGGTTCGATTCAACACAGTACACAAAATCCGTGACCTGATCCCATCTGTGAAAGATGTGATTCCTGACATGCAATACCCTGGTATTACCAATACCTCTGCCGTGGCTGATCACTGCTTAAACACGGTGGGCTCACACGACATTGTTTTTTTCCGAGAACAACGTACTCTGCAAACCTTCGGGCTACCATCAAAGATTTGTTCATGAAGCCATCCAGATATATAAACACAAACATAACTTCAACCGAGAAGATGGGTACAAATTGAGCAATCATTGGAAGGACGTTATTAACCAGGTAAAGCCTTAACTGGTTGTTGATGTTTCCATCGTACCTGCCATTGTCAGCAGTTACATTA